TTGAACATCGTATAATTTCTTGCGTATTATAAACTTTTATTGAATATTGCATCTTATAATATAATATTCTCCAAATAAATATATCTCGAGGGTCATGTACTATATATATTCCGTACATTTTTCTTTATTCATGTATATAATTATAAGTCTGGATAAATAGCCTTAAAATTGTGTACCCCGTGCATCGCACGGGCTATGTACTAGTGTTTAAGCATATATGTAATAAAAATAGCTTGGGCTCGTCTGTGGAGTAATTTTCTCAACAGTAAAAGCCATTGAAAGAGAAAATTATCCATGCATACATAACAAATTGTTTCAAATTTTGCATGTATACTAACATATTTTTTTAGTTGAAAACATAAAAATCTTACATAAAATTTTGCATACATAACAGATTATTTTAAATTTCAAATTACTTTTATTAAAAATAATTATTAAGGTAGTTGCATGCAATTAGTAACTGCTCTAAGTTAATGAGATTTCTCTTCTCGATTCACGCACGTTGTTCTCTCTCTCCATTCTTCTTCTTCTTCTTCTTTTTCTTTCTTCTATAAGTGTACGCTTAAACACAATATTTTTCAGAACACAAAACTCCCAAATTAGATAATACACCCAAAACTGATTGTTTTTTTTTTCGTCGGTCGGAGACCAGCAATCCATGGCTTGGATGACTTCAACGCGGGCCAACGGATCGATGGATTGGTAGACCCGTCGGCGTTAAGGCAACCCTAGGCCTCGACCGGCAACCATCAAGCTGAGAAGGCGCGCTGGCCCTCCAACGGCCGGGGATAGAGGTTCGCCGCCCCAAGACCAAGCAGTTGGAGCCGGAGTCTGTAAATGTTATGTGAATACAAACGCAACATATACTAAAAACATGCTGACTGTAAACACAACATAAATTGAAATTATTCTGATGCCCGTCTTGCACAAGATTATGATACTCGTCGTTAAGATTTTACCTCTTTTTATAATAATTGCCGACCTGGTCGGTTGTCATTGTATATTACGAAGACGAAAATTGTATATATCTGCTTATATGTTACGGAGATGTAAATTGTATATATCTATTTATATGTTTATACATAATTACAGGTTATAAAACAAACATAAACTGAATTATGATTGAGCAAAACAATACAATTCTTAAATTTTAGATGGTATTGTATGGCTCTTGAAGTATATAAATGTTGTATAATTTCTCTAACATTGGACGTCGAAGTAAATGTATTGTATACAACATATATAAACTAAATATACGACGATTCGTGCATATAACGTAAACCATGTTTTGTGGACCATTTATAACAGTATTTTAAGTTTTTAACACCACAAAAATTCATGCAAAATCTAAAAAACATAGTTTACGTAATGTATATAACTCCAACGTATAAACTATTAATAAACGTTACATAAACAATGATTTGAAAAAAAAAATAAAAAATTTCAGTATCTACAAATCGAATCCAAAACCCGATTAAGACCTAAAATCGCGACCATGGCCATGGCCCTCCTCTCTGCATTCGCAAGCTCATAACAAAGCTTCTCGGCTTCCCTAGTCATCGCCACCATGTGCTTCTCCATAGCTCGACCGATCTGAAAATTGGTTGCATGCATCTCACGCACGAGCTCGATTGCCTCCCTTCCCAGTTGGATCCCCATTAAATTTTCCATCCGGCCATTGCGCTCAGATCGAAGCTCATCTATTGCGACCCGGGTGTGATTGAGATCGGTGGCAAGCCTATCAAGGGATCGGGCCTCAACCTCGATTTTGTGGGAATGGTCGTAGACCTCGCGATTGGGCGTCGCAACCCGCCCAGAAGGAGGTGGTGGCTGGTGACGCTCGGCGGCAGCGTCCTGCTTGATGGCGACGTGGGCAGAGGCGTACTGCAGATTTATCTTTACCATGTTATAGTGGATTTGTTGTTATTATTATTATTATTATTATGGTCATGACATCAGTTATGGAAGATGAGAAAAACATACCATTTTTAATTAGTTGTTTAATTATCTAATAATTCTTCAAATATATATGTTCATTTAGGTAGATGTGCAAAGAAGTTTTTCATGGAGTATTTTTGAAATATTTAGGAATGAACATAGTAGGTATACATGGAGCGATTGTTTATAAATTGTTCAGTAAAAATACCAATCAAAACTCAAATTTAACTCAACTCCACTATTTCCAATATTATCAATATAATTAAATAATATCAACTAATCATTCTTACACATCACATCAACTTTAATTCACTATTTATCTACTCACATAATTTTAACTAACCATCACTTCCAATCATTTTCTCTCCTATCTTTACATCAAATTAATTTTAATTATTTTATTTTAAATATTATTTTAATATATCCACTAACAACTAACTATGTCACTTTTTTCAAATTTAATTATAATTAAAAAAATTAGTTTTTTACTAGTTGAATTCATATCCAATCACCTAAATGAGCCTTTTACTGTTCAGTTTGATTTGAGCTGAGGCCACCATCTGCCCATCCTAACTTAAATTGTATGGGCTTAATGCTTAATCGGATCTACCAAAATCTAAATATGGCCCAGCCCAACTAATCAACTCTTACATCGATACCGGGCTACTTTTGCCCTGTTATGTCCGGACCTACGACCGTTAAACACCATATATAAACTCCTCTAAACCTACGAAACCCTCAATCACTCCCTTCTCTCTTCCCTTTCTCCGCCTACCAACGCCGGGCGGTGGAGCCCTCGAAGCTCTATTCAAGGTAAAAGGCCTCTTGCATTTTTTATATTTTAATCGGCAAATTCACTATTTCCATTCCCTGCATATGAATTCTGTTTAAATTTTACGCGTTTTCACCCAACAATCGCGTGTTTTTTGTTAAGTTTTGTAATTTGAAACAGTGTAATGTTTGTTTCTGAATATTTCTATGTTTAAGAAGCTCGTTTGTTGAAATGCTATTTGAGTTTCAGATTGTGCTGCTGGAGCTAGGTGATATTACCTCTTGTTCTTTCGTCTATGCTATTATTTGCTGTTCATGGATTTTCTTTGTTTTTTACGTTCATTGAACCATTCGTGGGTGGCCTGATTTGTTGATATTAAACATCAAATATTTTTTTTTTCAGATTTTAATTATATATTACAATTTTATTTGTTTTTAATGGATGTAATTTTATTTGTTTGTTTGGTTTCTTCAATTCTTGTACTCTGTTCTCTGAATTTGGGGTATCAGTTCACGTGAATGGTGAGTTTGAGCTCAATTTGTGTCTTTGTTGTCTATGTTGACCGACAGTGGCGAAACAAAATTGCTGTGATTAGTTTCTAGTTACACAAGACAATGAAATCTAGTTGGTTTCTTAGAAAACTTCATCCCATATCTCTGCCTTTTTTTGTTTCGACTCAATTTTACAGTGGACTAATTATCATTTGTTGGATGTGACATGATTTATTGCTGATAAAATAAGATCCTTTCCTTCAGTTAATGATGGTTGATCAAAATTACCTTGATATGTTTTCTTTTTGTCATAGATTAGACGAGTGAATGTCTGAATGGATATTTTATAATATCTTCTACATTAAAAGACATGGCTATCCATCATTTTGTTTTGGGTCGAAAGTGCAGGCGTATCTTCTTATTTCCTGTTCTGTTATTTTTTTTCCGTTTGGATATATTCTTATTTATTTTCAACATTATCCATATATGCAGCGTTAAATAACAAAAAGTAGACATGGTTCAGTACAATTTCAAGAAGATCACCGTAGTTCCCAATGGGAAGGACTTCATCGACATTATCCTCTCACGTACCCAGCGCCGGACTCCCACAGTTGTCCACAAGGGTTACGCCATATCTCGCCTCCGCCAGTTCTACATGCGCAAGGTCAAGTTCACCGAGCAGAACTTTTCCGAGAAGCTCTCTACCATCATTGAAGACTTCCCCAGACTTGAAGACATTCACCCTTTCTATGGCGACCTATTACATGTCCTCTACAACAAGGACCACTACAAGCTCGCACTTGGGCAGATCAACACGGCCATGAATCTCATAAAAAAGATAGCAAAGGACTATGTGAGACTTCTCAAATACGGCGACTCCCTATACCGGTGCAAGTCACTCAAAGTCGCGGCACTTGGCCGAATGTGCACCGTCATCAAACGAATTGGGCCAAGCCTGGCCTATCTCGAGCAGATTAGGCAGCATATGGCTAGACTGCCCTCGATTGACCCAAACACCCGAACCATTTTAATATGCGGTTATCCAAACGTCGGCAAGAGCTCGTTCATCAACAAAATCACGAGGGCAGATGTCGACGTGCAGTCTTACGCGTTCACCACCAAGTCTTTGTTCGTTGGCCACACTGACTATAAATACCTGAGGTATCAGGTGATCGACACTCCGGGTATTCTCGACAGGCCTTTCGAGGACCGTAATATCATCGAGATGTGCAGCATCACAGCGCTGGCCCACCTGAGGGCAGCTGTCATGTTCTTTCTCGACATCTCGGGTTCGTGCGGGTACAGTATAGCTCAGCAGGCGGCTCTTTTCCACAGCATAAAGTCGCTCTTTTTGGGAAAACCTCTGATAATCGTGTGCAACAAGACTGATTTGCAGCCTCTGGAAGGGATTTCAGAAGACGACATGAAGTTGGTTATGGATATGAAGGTGGAAGCCATGAAAACAGTTGTGGGTCAAGGCGGTGAAGCCACGGATGAGAAGGACGTGCTGCTGACCATGAGCACGCTAACCGAGGAAGGTGTGATTGCTGTAAAAAACGCGGCCTGCGAGAGGCTATTGAATCAGAGGGTGGAGTCGAAAATGAACTCGAAGAAGCTGATGGACTGCAGGAACCGTTTCCATGTGGCCATGCCAAAGCCGCGGGACGGCAAGGAGAGGCCCGTATGCATTCCGGCAGCCGTTCTCGAAATGCAGGCCAAAAAGGCTGAAGAAAACGCCAAGAAGGAGAAGAGGAAGCTGGAGAAGGATCTGGAGAATGAGAATGGAGGCGCGGGTGTTTACTCGGCCAGCCTGACTAAGAACTACCTGTTGGCAAACGACGAATGGAAGTCGGACCCCATTCCTGAAATTCTCGACGGGCACAACGTGGCCGATTTTATAGACGCCGATATTCTAATGAGGCTGGAGGAGTTAGAAAGAGAGGAAGGTGCCCTCCAAGGTGTAGAGGAAGATGACGATTTTGAAATGGACGGTGCAGAGCTGACCCCTGAAGAACAGGCAGCACTTGCCATGATCAGGAAAAAGAAGGGTTTGCTTGTTCGGGAGCACAGGATCAAGAAGAGCACGGCTGAGAGCCGGCCAATCGTGCCAAGGAAATTCGACAAGGATAAGAAGTTTACGGCTGAGAGGATGGGGAGACAGTTGTCGGCACTTGGGCTTGACCCAAGTAAAGCAATCGAGCGTGCAAGGAGCAAATCGAGGGGCCGTAAGAGGGAGAGGTCTGTGGTTAGGGACGAGGATGGTGGTAATTTGATGGATTTGGATGAGGAGAGTGGTGGGCAGTTGAGCAAGAGGATGAGATTGAGGTCGAGGTCGGCCTCGAGATCTAAGTCGAGGCCGCCGGGCGAGGTTGTGCCGGGAGAGGGGCTCAAGGATAGCACTCAGAAGATAAAGGCGATCAAGATGGCAAAAAGCTCGAGTAAGAAGAGGAATAAGGACGCGCGTAAGGGTGAGGCGGACAGGGTTATTCCTACACTGAGGCCGAAGCATTTATTCTCTGGAAAGCGCAAGATGGGGAAAACGGATAGACGATAGTGTGATCAAGGTAATCGTGTTGCGAATTCTATTTATTTATGTCTCTTTTCTTGCATTGTTTATTTTTTTGTTTGGTTTATACTCTCTTCCTAGTTTTCCTGTTTTGGTGTTTCTAAAATGGTGTGTGAGAGTTGTTTTTTCTTTTTATGCTGGATTTTGATTTGTGCTTTTATGATGGAGGAAATGAAAGTGTTGTTGTTTCTGAAATTGTGTGAGAATTTTTTTTCTTCGTGCGGGGGTTTGCTTTGTACTTCTTTTGCTTGATGAAGAAGCATATTTCTTATACAGCATCAGTATTTCTAAGCTGAAGTATTTATTCAAAAATTTGAATTCTGAAGTACTCTTGTTTCCTTGTCTCAGAGGATTACTTGTGTGTGGAGCATCCTGGAGATCGAGATCACATTTTTGACATGCGATTGGATTTTTTTTTTTTTAGTTGTTTGGCTGATCTTTTTCTTGATGTTGTTAAGACAGCTGGTTTATTTCATTTTATTCACCTTTCTTAGGATATGGAATTGTGGTGTTGTGGTTCTGTTCTTCAGATTATATTTATATTAACTTGTCAAGATTGTTACTTTTTTGCTTGTAATAAAACCATGGGTATTTTGTTTTTTTATTTTTTTCTATTATTTTTTGATTTGGGTCAAATATATAAATTGCAGCTGGCCGAGCTGATTGGCTCAAGTGCTGCCTCTCAGTAAAGTTTAAACAGCTGCATATAGTGAAAAACTGAATGGTACGAAAACCAGCTCTTGCCTGATTGAGTTTTGGGGCCAAGATAGTGTGTGCCATACATTGATACCCTTTCGGCAAAGTTCTTTAGCTTTGATTCCTTTTGGGTTTTAAAGTACTGTTTTTAGAATATGATGGACTTGTTTGGAAATACTTATTGAGAAGTTCATTTTAAGATAGACTTTTTGAAAAGTGACTTCTCAAAAAGTGTCCAATATAAACTTCTTTGAAATGGACTTTTTGTGGAAGTTATTTTTTTAAAAGTCCATTTTGTTATTTACACTAAACATTTTCTTATATAGGAAATTAACTTTTATAGTCAAAAGTCCATTACAAAAATGTTTTTAAACATACACGATATCTTAATTTGAAAATCGTCTTAACATTCATATGTCAAATCTCATAGTTCATATAAGCGATTACAACTAACGTAGTGTTTGGTTCAAGGGAATGAGAGGGGAGGGGAAGGGAGGTGAGGGAAATATTTAATTTTCTTCTGTTTGGTTCACTCTTTTGTGGAGGGGAGGGGATGAGATTTTCCCCTCTAATTGATGTGCAGAGGAAAATGGCTCCCCCTCCAATTTTGGGGGAATTTGGAGGGGAGGGAAAATATTAAGACACTCTATTACAATTTTATCCTTGTCATATATAATATTTTAATTTTTATTTTAACATCATTAAGGATACATTTGTCATTCTATCATTATTTTCCCTCCCCTTTCTTTATCTAACCAAACAAGGTTTGCCATTTTCCCTTCATTCCCCTCCAACAAAATCCTTTCAAACAAGGTAAAATGATTTTACATCACCTCTCCTCCCCTTCCCTCCCCTCCATTAAAATCCCTCCCCTCCCTTTCCCTCCGTTGAACCAAACATAGCCTAAGAGAATATGAATGATTTTCTCTTTCTGAGTATACTATTTCGCAATAAGTATAGCTTTGAAGGTCTCAACTTTTCCATCCAATCTTTTTTTTTTCTTGTAGACTCACTTGTATCCAATGGGTTAAATCCCACTGGGTGTCTCTACAAGATCATAGACCACAGACTTGATTAGAGTTCATTAGCTCCATATTAGCTTTTATCGCACTTTGTCATGAAACTGCATCTTTGTCTTTGAGTCTCTCATTACATGTCCAAGGGTCTGATTCTAGCTCACATGAGACTGTTCGAAGACTCTTCGAGGAACATAAATCGGTCGGGTTGTCTCATAACCCTCCCATTGCGACGAGGTACTATTTGCACAAATGCATGCTCAACATTGTGTGTTGCAATATTATGCGTATCTACTTGCACACTCGGTATGGGACTTGCAAACTCCCCCCTCAATTCCCTGAATGTGTGAACACTGGGCTTATGTCCTTTATTGACTTAGATGGAACTAGGTTCATGATATACGATGCTATCTCTAGCGTCATTCCCCAGAACAAACTCAGTAATTCTGAATAATTCATCATCAAACTAACCATCTCCATAAGAGTTCTATTCTTTTGCTTTGCAACTCTGTTTTGTTGGGGCGTGTCAGGTGCAGTCAGTTGACACTCAATTTCAGCCTCTGATAAATGCATAAGCTTTCCAAAGAGGTATTCGTCACCTTGATCAGACCGAATTGACTTGATACTCTTGCTATGAAACTTCTGCATGACTGTCCGATACTATTTGAATTTCTCAAATCATTTGAACTTGCATTGTATCAGGTAGACGTACCTAAATCTCGTATAATCATCGATGAAGGTGACAAAATACTTGAAACCTCTTTTATCCTAGACCCACATTAGGACCACATAAATCAAAATGAATTAATTCTAGCACATTATCGCACCTGCGCCCCTTGACTGTGAACGACCGCTTAGCCATCTTACTTTTCAGGCACGACTCGCAGGTCGAATAGGTGTCTTATAGCGGTCTGACTTGTCCATTAGATACCAACCTTTGAATTCTCTAAGGTTGACATGCTCAAGTCTAAGGTACCAGAGATATGCTTGATTCATATGCGAATGTTCCTTTTTTCTTATTTGATTGGTCAATGTATAATTCAGTTTCGATTGTTGCATTGTGAGATAGTTTGGTTTAAGGATGTATATATTTCCTACTAATGAACCATGACAGATGAAACAATTCCCATAACGAGTAACAACTTTGATATTAAACGTAGCAGAAAAATCATTCATAATGAGTTTACAAACTGAAATAAGTTTCTTTTTAAAAATAGGAATATAAAAGCAATGTCTCAAAATCAAACAAATGCTGCTTCTTACCATTTTCTCATATTCGATTTCCGTCTTTATAATGTAAATATTATACCACGATTAACTTACCAATATTAGTTATAATGCAATATTATATATGGAACTGTCTACATATAATTTATTTTATATTATTCATATATATAATATATATATATATTATATATTATTCATATAATTTATACACACACTAGTACAGTACGCGTGTATCACGTGAGTGAATGTAAAAAATTTATACTTAAAATTTTAAGAATAATGAAAAAAAACTTATTCTGAATTTTAAATACTTTCTTAAAAAATTATATTATATTTATATTTAATGAGAACTGTAATTCATAAGACTTACTCATCTTTTATTATATTATTTTTTACCTTATATCATATAACTACATTATAGTTAAATTAAATTAAATAATTTTAGTTTTTTAAATAATATTAATAGGTAATTTAATTTTTATTATAAAGGTAAATACAATTATTTATTTATTTTTTTTATGTATAATACAGATGTCAAATCGAAGTTCATCAAGAAATGATTAATTTGATATATTATATAAACAAAATTAATACAACAACAACAACATAGCCTTTAGTCCCAAGCAAGTCGGGGTAGGCTAGAGATGAAACTCAAGAGAAACACAAAAAGACTCGAACCGAAAAGAAGAGATCAGAAAAAAAAAGAGAAGAGAGAGAGAGAAAGGAGCAAAAGTCACGGTTCTGGCACGTTGATAGCGAGCCTCCAAGCGCTCCTATCCACCGCTAAATCCTTGGAGATATTCCAATCTTTAAGGTCTCTCTTAACCGACTCTTCCCAAGTGAGTTTAGGCCGACTTCTACCTCTCTTAACATCCTCGACCCGCTGTAGAACTCCTCTACGCACCGGTGCATCAGGAGGCCTCCGTTGGACATGTCCGAACCACCTCAACCGATGTTGAACCAATTTCTCCTCAATTGGAGCCACCCCGACCCTATCTCGAATATCCTCATTCCGGATTCTATCCCTTGTGTGCCCGCAGAACCAACACAACATACGCATCTCTGCTACACTTAGTTGTTGGACATGTTGCCTTTTTGTAGGCCAACATTCAGCACCGTATAGCATCGCCGGGCGAATCGCCGTCCTATAGAACTTACCTTTTAGCCTTTGTGACACCCTCTTATCACAGAGAACGCTCGACGCCTGACGCCATTTCAACCAACCGGCTGCAATTCTATGCCTAACATCAGCATCAATGCCGCCATCCTTTTGTAGCATCGATCCCAAATACCTGAAAGTCTCCTTCTTGGCCATCACTTGCCTGTCAAGGGTAACGCCACCATCATCATGTGAAGTCATGCTGAAAGCGCACGTTATGTACTCGGTTTTCGTCCTACTAAGTCTGAAGCCTTTCGACTCTAACGCGCCCTTCCACAGCTCTAACTTCCTATTTACCCCTGCTCTACTCTCGTCAACTAGCACCACATCATCAGCAAAGAGCATACACCAAGGGATATCACCTTGTATGTCCCTTGTGACCTCATCCATCACCAAGGCAAATAGATAAGGGCTCAATGCTGACCCCTGGTGTAGTCCTATTTTAATTGGGAAGTCGCTGGTGTCGCCCCCACATGTTCGGACACACGTCATCGCATCCTTGTACATATCCTTGATGAGGGTAATGTACTTAGATGAGACTTTGTGCTTTTCTAAGGCCCACCACATGACATTTCTCGCTACTCTGTCATAAGCCTTCTCAAGGTCGATAAAGACCATGTGCAAGTCCTTCTTTTGGTTCCTATATCTCTCCGTCAACTGACGTATTAGGAAAATCTCCTCCATGGTCGACCTTCCAGGCATGAACCCAAATTGGTTTTGGGTCACACTCATCACTCGTCGTAGGCGATGCTCGATAACCCTCTCCCAGAGCTTCATCGTATGACTCATCAACTTAATTCCACCGTAGTTACCACAACTTTGAACATCTCCCTTGTTCTTGAAGATCGGTACTAAAGTACTTCTCCTCCATTCATCAGGCATCTTGTTTGACCGGAAAATGAGGTTAAAAAGTTTAGTTAGCCATGCTAACGCTCTGGCGCCCAAGCATCTCCACACCTCAATGGGGATACCATCAGGGCCCATTGCTTTACCTCCCTTCATCCTCTTCACAGCCTCTCCGATCTCTGCCTCTCAAATTTTTCTCACCACGCGTCTATTGGTATCCTCAAATGAGTCATCCAACTCCAGGATAGGACCCTCACTCTTCCCATCAAACAATTTGTCGAAGTACTCTCGTCATCTGTCCTTGATCTCCCCATCCTTCACCAGTGGCCGATCCGACCCATCCTTAATGCATATTATTAACTATTAAAATATATTTATAATTTAAGTTAGTTTTTATAATTTTAAAAGAAAGAATGAGAAAAAGAGAAAAAATTTATATTATAAACAACTCTAGAATAGAATAAAACATAATAAATGCTCTTAAAAATGATCATAAATATCCAGTATATTTATGGCTATTTCAGGCCTAGTTATTTTTGAGTTGAAAGTAAATTAAAATCTATCCAAGCCAAATGACGGAACATGAAAATTTTTCTCATAGGAATGCAAGAATGTGAACCTACCAATTAAGCTCGAATCGTGCGAGCCTACCACTTAAGCTATAGGGGAATGATAATCAATTTTAGAACTGATGTATAAAAAAAATGGTAATATTTTCATAACATAGTTTATAGCTTATTTGGTTAATTTATATGCTTTCTGTATAAAAATTTTCTTTGATAGGATGAACGTTTTTAAAAAGTCTGAACTTATTTAATAAGCTTCTTTGAGTAACTTTTATATAAGCCTATTGACATTTTTGTTTATCTAATAAGCTTTTTTGAGTTACTTTTCAAATAAGTTGATTGAAATTTTTATTTCACCTTACTTATTAATTAATTTTACTACACACTTTTATCATATCAGCTAATTTTTCAATCATAAATCATAAACTATCAGCTATAAGTTCAAAGTTCACTTATAAAGTATCAACTAAATTATCAACTATCAACTAAATTATCATCTAATTTTACCAAACATTGTCATAGATTTTGTAATACAATGCTTCCACGGTTTACAAATTGCAATCAAACAATCTAATTTGTGATTAGCCATATTTAAAAAATAAAATAAAAATAAAACATCACGTAATTTTAGTAATCAATCCAAAATACGTCATATGATTTATTAATAGTTTGAACCATTACAACCACACATGGTATAACCCACATATTTACAACTTATTTACACCATGAAAAAAAACACACACACACACAACCCAGCTCATCTCCCCATTTCTACGAAGAGAAGCAGACAAGTAATGGGGTAACTAGCAACCAACCTTAAACTACGACTAACTTCTAGCTTTCACAAGTTCCTTTGGTTAGGCTCGAGCCATGGGAACCCAAGGAAGTCAAACACCTCCTTCTCAGATCCAAACTTCAAACTTGCACTGCTTTTGCTTCCCTAAAATCAGAGGATGTAAAAATAATGTGATTAATAAGCGGTGCTAGACATCAATTACAATACACAGGCCACAGCAATATCTCATACCCGTTTGCCACCTGAACCAAGGGTGGCAGGGAAAAGACCCGTGTCGTCAAGTCTGAAGCCCTTAGACTCTGCTAATAATCTAAGCCTGGTAAAAAAAACACCGGACAATTCAGAACTACGAAAAGGGTAAGAGAGAGAACATAATTTGATGAGTTGGCAACAAGACAAAATCATTTATTTTCATTCGAGATTTTTCAACAGTATGAAGTTTTCGTCAAATCATTCTCATAACTGGCGGCAACATATTTTAAACTTCCTCTAGTGAAATTTCAATTGAAATTATGTACACGGTAATTTCAGGATCAAGATTGGACTGCAATCGAAACTTAAACATACTTTCTCCAAACCGGAATAATAGGTTGATATTAAGTTTAAAGTTATAGATTGGTTGTAATGCATTTTACATTTAATTCTGTTAACAATCAACTTCTGGTTCACGCCAAAATCCGGGTATAGAAAAGGCTTACCTTCTGTTAAGAACATCGTTCCCTGTCCATGCTATCAATCCAAAAGCATAAATATCCCTTGGATAAACCTATACAAACAATAGTGTAGATTAAAGCATGTGGATGTGGCCACTTCGTGACTACTAGTTGTCTCTAGATGTGCAACATAATGCAGATATATATGTGCAGCATCTCAAACACATTGCTCTAACTCATCTGTACTTAACAACCTCATGATAGAGATGAACCAGTCAGAGGCAATCTATGGACAAAATTTAACAGACTGACCATCCTAAAGGTATACACTTCGTCTCCAAATTCCCAAGCATGGTAACGAGGAATTATAACCCATAAACGAAACTAAATAACAAATAAAAACCCCATTCGCCCTGTGACTTCTCTTGTCCTTCAGTCTTTTGCATAAGTCCCACATAATATGGCTAATCAAATTAGGATTGCGGACAAAAAAGAACACTAGAACAGGACAAGTATTACACCTTGAAATCGATGCGATGCCGTAACTCTCGACCAGGATAAGTGCAAAGACCAAAATACGTATCCACACCAGAGTCAGTACCCTACACACAAAAGCAAAGACACACATTAAGCAATAAAAGGCACCTTGTAAATAAAAAGTACGTTAGTGCACTGCAAAGATAGTCACACAGCTTCTTACGAGAACCTGATATACAAGAGACAACTTTTACATCTATTACTTGACTATATATCAGTTCCAATAATCCAATTATCTTTATATGTCATTTTCATCTTCTAGTCTGTTCTAGTCTAGTCTGTTCTGATAGCACATAATCACTTTCTTTTAGTCCTTGCAACGTTCAACATTCCGTGTTGTACAAGCACCGCAGGTCCCCACATACAATTTGATGCAGGTATACAACTCCACAATTCACACAATAAATTCTATTTAAGAAAAGAGGAATCCATACTCTATAAAGTATAAAAAAACAATAAATAACGATCATTCAAACTTTTTAGCATTCCAAAACTCCTAAAACAACTGCAACAATGTTTGAGATTTCGATTTGATGTTGGAACAATGACATACGGGCTCCACCTGCTTGTACAATATCCTGAGCTTACAACCAAAATTGCAAAGCAAATAGTAGGCTAGATGATGCTTACAGAATAAAAGAAACATATTTCGGGTTCCTATACCATTGAAATCGATTCGAACAATGTTAAACATTTATGTATCCAGAATACATGAAGACATCATAAATCGTATGACACGTGGTTCAAAGGTTTTATTCTATCGCAACGTAGAGTAAAGAACTCAAGGCATCTTCCAATGTAAAGAAGAAATGAAACAACGTTTGGTTTTATTATGTAAATAACCGACTTCAAAACTACAAACTATGCAAGACAGAAAAATAATTACCTCCTCACTGTGTACACTAAAGACCAGATCCTCTCTCAAGAAGCCCATATGTTTGAGACCCTTCACCAACTTTGGAAGAAATCCAATATGACTGGATGGAAGAATAAAGGAAAGTCAGTTGCAATAAACAATTCAGAAATTTACATGTGTATGTGTGTAAATAATATATACATATATATATATATATATACATATATATATATATATGGTTGCACTCCGGTGAGAATGGTTCTCAGTAAAAGAAGTAAGAATACAACCGAGCAATTAAATCTGATAACCCAACGGCCATAAATGAACAAGGATTATACACTAGTAAATAGTGTAATGGACATTTTCCTTCCTATTCGTGGGCCCCACCACCCACTAATCTCTCTCATCATTCATTAAGTGGGCCCCATCCCCTCCCACCCTTCTATCTCTCGCCCCAAACCCTAATCCATCCCGTCGTCTGCCAATTATCCGCAGCCATCGCCGCCTACGACCTTGCACCTCCCGCCGCCTCTTCCTCGCCCAGATCGAATGGCTCTTCCCGCCGCCTCTTCCTCGCCCCAATCAGAGGTTGTACTTCCCGCCGGCAGCCGGCCCCGTACTCTTCGCAAGAGTGCCATCACCAGCGAGAACACCCGGAACAGCGGCAGCACGCACAGCGCCACGTCCCACACGCCGTCGACGTGGAAGTTCGGGTTCTCACAGCCCCCCTTATGCGTGATGCACGCAGCAAGTTCTGGTGGCAAAGCAATCGTCATCGCTGCCGCCGCCGTCTCTCTGTTCACTGGACTGACGAGATGAAATCGGGTAGGGGATGACGGATCGGGAATCGGGGGGGAATGGAAAGGATTTGGGTTTGGACTGGGGGCTTCAATTTGAAAATTAGATAAGTCTTGGGGACTTAATTGCAATTAAATTTTAATATATTGCAATTTAGGTCTTGCTTAAATCTGCAATTTTTGAAGAGTTTGATAAATGCACAATAATATTAAATGAAATGCAAATTAAAACGTGTGGATATGCACATTAAAATTACCATCGTATTCTTATGAAATTACCAAATTGCCACCGCCTACACATACAGTTCACAAAATTTATCAAAATGTCACCGCACAACATAATGCACAATAGAGTGAGACTAAGTGCATATTAATGACTGCCAGAATGCACATTAGCGTAACAGTGTAGTTTGCACAATGACTAAGATACCTTGCGTAAAAAATTCAAAATCCACATAATTACAACAATGACAACGCCCCTTTGATCGTGCCTAAGCGTTGATATATCACATCTGACCGCTACGATCCATTCGTATTACTTTCACTAGACCCATTCTCACTTGATCCTAACTATATGTGTGTGTAGAGAGAGAGATCCATATAACATGCATAAACCATAAATAAACAATGATACAGAAAATTATGTGCTCAATACAAATTTTCCAATATGGGGCTTGCTCTATCACTAACACAATGAACTTTAGACGGTGGTATCTAAAAATAAAAAATAAAAAAATCAATGCTGGTCGAAGGTAGAATGCTATTTTGTTGTTAAAAAGAAATTGAGAATCTCATAAGGTTACAATTGAATACCATACCTTGTGGCATCAGGGTGTGTAATCACAATGTCCATGTCCCCGCAAGAAGCCTTTCCACGTCTGTATGATCCTCCACAAACGATTACTACCTAAAGCAGTATCGCCAGGAAAATAAATGGGAGAGTGTTAAATATAGTGGGGCGTGTGTGCGTGTGTTTTTGCACGCATTGGATTCTACCTGGTTTATAACACATCACAGTATAAAATTTCAAACCAAATTTGACAACTGGGAGTTTTGATTTTGTAATCCTTCTGGATCTCAACAACTTAGGAAGAGAATTGTTCCACAAAAATTACGACAAGATCGAATTTAGAAGTTGATGATTTTATGTTTAGCTAGAGTATAAGTGCACATCAAGCAGATATTCATCTGCTCTCATGAATCACCCAGATGGTTACAATGATGGTAAAGTAATATCTCAATCTGCCTACCGCATCAAGGAATTCCAGTTAGTAGACATATCTGCATGGACAACACACCTCTGGGCCATCAATAAGATTGTTACTTTAGCCCTAAAGTTATTATGCTGGATGCACATTATAACCAAACCTTTCAGATATTCATCTATGTCAAATTGAATTGCCTCATAATAAAGCAATCCAAAAGACCAATTTTGACTGAATTCAACAATGAGCTGCAAGTTAGGATTTAATGTGCAATTTAATTTTTCCAAATTTAAAACAGCAGCAGTGGTTCTCACCCCAGGCAAAATCTCTTCTCCAACTTTCTGTATAAGACTTTCCATTTCTTGGACCTGTACAAAGTTTTGGAGCTTTAACAAAGTGGGCCAAAAATCCTTTCATACATCTTTCGTGTACATAATACACAAACCAATTTAAAAGCAGAAAGGCAGACCTCATGGCGGGGAATTCTCGTCCTGATGTCATCAAAGTATTTTAAGCCCAACTTCTGAGAATTTGTTAATGATTCCTCATTTTTCAAATCATCAAGGGTCCTGTATCCTTTCTCATAAAGTTTCACTGCTGTGGCAGGTCCAATTCCCCATACTTCTCCAAACAAAGTGATTGTGCGTACCTAAAAAATTTCAGAATATTCAGTTTATAACAATTTGTTTGATGATATAAGCAGAATCCTTCATCTTATGTAGACTGTATCATAGGGAATGAGATTCCCTGTTTGACTTTTATCCTCACTTCATGTTTCATTTCATTGGATGAATGGCACATGTAAATAATGATATCACATTTGTACACGTGTCACTGATCCAATACAGGGAAACATGAAGTGGGACATAAATGGAATAGAAAATCTGAACCCATATCATACAGGAGAAACAATGTAATTCTCAAGTTCTAAGATAATAGTGTGGAGGCAATATTCATTCATGAAGCTTCACATAAAAGATCATTATCCCTATTACCATTTTAATATCCTCCACTATGTAAACATCAAGAAATATCGAGTCTTATAGAAGGTTAAATGTTGAGTAACCTCATAGACACAACAGTATGAAGAATGGAGAAAGAAATGCAGACAGAACCGGGACATTAGAAGCATAGAGATGGAATTCATGAGCGCTGATAATTGTAAGAGATGCAGATATATAAGGAGAATACTGTCATACAATTATGAAATATTGCAGTCCTTTCAGCATTCTCTAGACATAGAATGATTGGCATGCCCAAATGAAAATTGAAAATAACATAAAGTTCTTTAGTCTTCACATGAAGAAAAAATGACAAACAGTATGTATCATTAAAAGACAATTTTTAAAGCAGATACGCCACTAATAACAATAAAGAGCTCAGGGTTTCAGCAACATAAAAACAACACCTTTTCGTCCTTCTCAAAGTGCTCCAACTTGGAAAGCTTCCCAGTGTTTACAATTTCCTGAATCTGTAATTACAGCTTTGATATTACCAAAGAAAGGCGTATAGAAGAAGTAAACCCACAATTTTTTCCTCTAAAAGGATCAGAGATACATAGGCTAATAGATCCGGCAATAAACTAAATGCAGTATAAGCTGATAAAGTACTTGCTTACATGGTCCTGCAATGACTTTCCAATACCAGGTAGATCTTTTACTTGGTCACCACTTTCAATTTTAAAAGGCAGTTTTTCGATAACTGGGATAGCCTTATAATAGCTAAAAGACCTGCGGTCATCACCCAGGGCTGTCATTAGGTTACAAGAAAAGTCAGCTTTTGCCTACACAATTTCTGCATGTAATAATAATAATTTAAAAAAAAAAAGTATATAACAAAAAAGAAGAGACAAGAGAAGATAATCCTGGATGATAACCTCTGTATATATTGATAAGCTTTCCAAATATCTCAGTTATATTCCTGTTCAGATCTGGAGGGCTGTACAGCAATGATGCTTCAGATAATGAGTCCTGTTAGGCAATGCATCCAAGTACTTATTATACAAAAATCTAAATATTACACACTACAGAGAATGAAACCTCATATTCTTGCAACGAGATAAAAACAATTTCATCCAGCATAACCTTGAAAACATTCAACATAATATGTAAAACTTAGGAGAAATGGAATGAACTTACAGCTGTATTTAGACTGTCCGAGCTTGGACTTGCGACTTCTGGGCCAAAAGAGCTAGGCGAGCGAGATGACCCGCTGGCATTGACTGATACGTTGTCTTCTCGTTCTAATCCAGTAGTTTTGGAGTCCTCTGGAGAGGGTTTAATCTTCTTTTGCGGATGTTGATCTTCTGTACTCAAATGATTTGGATTGATATGTCCCAGATGATTCTTCTCCTCAGTGACTTCGCTTTTAATAATTCCTCGGGTGTCGGATGATATTATGTAAAGGTTTTCGGATGCTTTCTCTCCTATTCTCAGGCTGTCCTCCAGCCATTGATAGTTGAGAACTTTCTGCCACGAGTTCATGTGAAATCAACTTCCCAAATTGGAACATAATTTCAAACAGTACTATAAAATTCTTTGGTTAGCTAAACTGGCATTTTTTAATATTCAGATACAACACTTTAAAGGAGCTATTTGATATTAATCAGTTACAAGGTGATAACAATATATAGAGAAAGTGAGTACCAATGATATAACCAACTATGCACATGATACACCCCTAAAAATTGTTCTTGTTCAGAAAAAAGTGCAATCCGAATCACTTCAAATTGTTAGACAACCTTAACTAAGCAAACTACCTACACCCCCCAACAGCATAAAGGTATGATCTTGCCAAATTTCAGCCTAGTGAACCACCAGTACATGTATCAATCAGGTACATGCAACATCAGTCAATCTTATAACAAAAGAAGCCCAAAATATGGAGGAATGCCCTAACTATTACTTAGCAGTTTATACCACACCACTATGCTATAAATTACTACACTTTAAACTAGCACAAATCAACGTATAGACAATACTAACCAAATAATTACATTGGATATATACGAAATAGAAAAGGAAAAAAAAAAGTTAAGCAATAACAACAAATTACTCCTTTGAAGCCTTTTAAGCTTTTGCCTTCCATCTTTTGCCAAAGCGAGTTGGAATCCGCCGCAAAAATGTGGTTAACTCTCTTGGAAAAAGTTTCCTCGATTTGAGCCCCCATTTGCACCAATTTTTGCTTCCAAATCTAAAATTAACAACGAACGAGGTTGAGAATCTCATTGATTTCAGAACTCAGTTAAGTACAACTATTTGAAAGTAAAAGTTATGGGCAAGAAAAAACCTGTAGCCGACGAGCTTGAATGGCGGTTTCGATTAAGAAGACGACCATACCGGAGAACATCCCGTTGGGGTCGGACGGTGGAGATTTTTTCCTAGCCTTTGGCGCCATTTTTTTCCGTTTACCTTAGTAGTTAACCTTACTCGCATTGGAGTTCGGTGCTAGAGAATTTGAGAATGTGTAGCTCAGCTTGTATTACACGTTATGTACGGAGTGGTACAAAAGATGGGAATTGTTTCAAATGACCTTCCCCATTAACAAAATTGGCTAAATGACCTTTGACTCCACAGATCTACTGAGGCCTTTTGAAATTTTCCACCGAAAGAAAAAACCCCAAATCAACAAAACCCTCGTTCGGCGGTGAACCACGCCTTCCTCAGCAGGGCCTCGCCGGGCCATCTCGGTGCCGGTCATCCCCCGACTGTGCGGCCGGATATTGAAGGCTCGTTGGATTGAAGGCTACCTCTTCCCGGGTGAAATGACGGATTCGCCCCATCTGGCTTTCGCCTCCTATTAGGTTGCCATGGAGGGTCTTGTTCCGGCGATTCCCCGGCGGCGAGTCTACTGCGAGTCTGCGATTAAGGGCTGCGGCTCCGATTGTCTCTTGTGAGGTGGTCAGGCTGAGATCGGGCCGTTCCGCTCTCCTTCTTTCTCCCGATTTCTCTGCTTTTGGGGTCTCTAGACTGCATTTGCGNTCGACTGGCTCTGAGCTTCTAAGGTTTTCCGGTATGAGGGGACGAGCTTCTGAGTAGGGGTAAACGGGCCGGGCAGTTAGGATACCGGTGTATTCGAGCAGGGACGTGACGGGGAACTGTAGGAACCGGAGGGAAGGGAGCAGGAGGGCTCTCAAGCTCGATACTCCAGTGCTTGGTGATAAAGGAGAGGATGATTCAAAAGCTGTAGCATCAGAATCCATGAGAGCCAGAAAATCAAGCAACAATGAAAGGAGTCCTCAAAATATTCTTGAAGAACTGACGAGTACAGCTACCTATTATGAACATTGCCATTTTTATGTGGGAATTGTTTCAAATGACTTCCCTATTAACAAAATTGGCCAAATGACCTTTGACTCAAAAGGGAAGAATAAAGTAAATGAAAAATGATATTACAAACACAAGAACTAATATACCCTTCACATAATTTTTTAATAAATTTTTCTTTCCTTCTCCATTTTTCTCTTCTGCTCCCGCATTTCTTCTTCTCGTTGCTCTCACTCTCTGCTCTTCTTCTTCTTCTTCTCGTCACTCCCTCTTGCTCTCTGCTTTTTCTTCTGCAATTTTTCGCGAACAATCACTATGGAACTCTCTCTCGTCAATGCTGGTACAGATTTTTTCGTTTTTTGTCAATTTGTTCTTTTATTCAATTTGATATTGGTGGAGAAAGATTTTAATTGTGTTATGTGAATTCATCTAATTTTGTTTGGTTTAATGGAATTGAAGATGATAATTGATGCACTCTATGTGTTTGATGAAATGCTTGTAGGATTGAGTTAATGAAGTAAAAGAGTGGTAGGTGCACTCTATATGTTTGATGAAATGCTTCCTATGCTACTTGTTGTATACTTAGAACCAATCAATCCATCTTCGTTATATATTACACTAAAACGAATGCACACTCGTTATAGTATCACAATACTTATAACGAAACTCATTTTATGAGTTAACGATACTTGTTTCGTTTTATGTTAGAATCCATTAAAAATCACTTAAATTATAAGTATAATGAGTAAAATATCGTTATAATGTATTATATAGCGAAGGTATAGGTGTATTTAATCGACCGGGATGGAAATATAACCATAACGAATGTACATTCATTATGTTGAAATCATAACGAATGTACTCTCGTTATGGTTATTTTGATGGAATGAAGTGTTAATGATTCTATCTTCGTTATATATGACATTAGGATGATATTTTAAACTCATTATATATGACGTGTTAATGATTCTAACTTCGATCTAAATATAACCGTAACAAATGTACATTCGTTACATGTATGAGTTTTGATAAGCCAATATTTATTCAAGCTTTAGTTTAATAGCATGCTTTAAGGTTGTTAAGTTCAAAGAATAAAAGAAGCTCGATATAGAATAAAAAATCATTTTATTAGTATTTTTTAAAAATGAGTTAACTTATATCTTTAACGAGTAAAATATCATCATAATGTATTATATTGTGAATGTATAGGTGTATTTAATTGACCAAGATAAAAATATAACTATAATGAAGATTCATTTGTTATGGTGTATGAAATAACGAATGTACATTCTTATGTATTAAATATATTTTGATCATATTAGGTTTTCAAGTGTATAGAATTTTTGCATGCTGGGAAGAATGTTGAAGCCGTAGATCAATCTCGGATTAGTGATTGACGTGTAAAACTAGCGGCTGAAATATTTGGTGCTCATTTTGATCCATAGTTTTTTTTAAACATTTAATATGTAACGGGTTGTAAGGATCTTTTGGATAATACATTTTTGTATTGTTTTTCATGTGTTTTTCAATGCAATGATGCGGGTGGTCGATTTTTGAAGTTGTATTTTTTACGTACTTCCCAATGCAGTGGTTATAATAGTATTTTATCAAAAGAGTTAAAGTTATTACTGTAACGAGAAGTTTTAATTTAATAAATAACGAAGGAGTTCGATGCTGAGCTCCCGAAAATAAGTTGAGGAACCGATTACACGTCATTTAAAAAATAATGAATGTACAGTCGTTATTTTGTATAAAATAACGAATCTACATTCGTTATTTAAAAAAAGAAAATGATTGTCGCGGGCGCGACGTCCTGACAACCTTCTCTGTCCGGCCCAGAGTTTCTCCCGCGACACATGTCGCGACTGCGACATGTATTCTTTTCACTATAACGATTGTACAATCGTTATTTTGTATAAAATAACGAATCTACATTCGTTATTTAAAAAATAAAAAACATTCCTGTCGCGGGCACGTCCATCGCGGCCGCGACGTCCTGGCAACCTTCTCTGTCCGACCCTGTGTCGCTCCCGCGACACATGTCGCGACCGTGACATATAGTCTTTTCATTATAACGATTGTACAATCATTATTTTGTATAAAATAACAAATCTACATTCGTTATAGAGTGCAATTTGGTTCTTCACTTCACAATCGAGCATCCAAGAGAAATAATAATATTTTTAGCACCATAAGTGAAACTGTAGAAGAGCATCAATTAGCACATTCGTTATAACGAATGCAGAAAGCGCGTTTGTGTCGAAAAACAACCATAACGAATGTGCATTTGTTACAACGAATGCACGTTCGTTATGGTTGTTTTTCGACCAAATCTACCTTAAACGACCGTGCATTCGTCATATAATACATTATAAAGATATTAAACTCGTTCTAGGTCTAATTTTGGTCATCTTTAAGTTAAAATAACGAATTTACAAAGATATTACATGATCTTTCCATTTTTCAAAAACAAAAAAAAAAAACCAAGTATTGTTATTTCAAAAAAGAGTTTCGTTGTGAGTGTTTCGACACTCTAAAAACTTCAAACTATCATTCCGATGACATGTAACATGAATATACAATCGTTATCAAGTGATTCGATCAAAAAAACCATGAAGAAAGCGCATTTGTGTCGAAAAAAACCATAACGAATGTATATTCGTTATAACAAATGCACATTCGTTATGGTTGTTTTTCGATCAAATCCACCTTAAACGACCGTGCATTCGTCATATAATACATTATAAAGATATTAAACTCGTTATAGGTCTAATTTTGGTCATTTTTAAGTTAAAATAACGAATTTACAAAGATATTACATGATCTTTCCATTTTTCAAAAACAAAAAAAAAACCTAGTATTGTTATTTCAAAAAAGAGTTTCGTTGTGAGTGTTTCGACACTCTAAAAACTTCAAACTATCGGTCAAAGGTGATATATGACCAACAACAATGTTTTACACGTCATTCCATATAAAAAACAAAACGAGAGCACTTTCGTTGCGATTGTCACCATAACGAATGTACATTCGTGATAACGATTGTATATTCGTTATGGTTCATTTTCGAGCAAAAACACCTAAAACTCGATATATAATCCATTACAAAGATATTACACTCGTTGTAGATACAATTTTACTCATTTTTCATGTAACATAAGGAATGTACAAAGATTCCAGATGATCCAACCATTTTCCAAGAACAAAATAAAAAGACAAGTATAGTTATGAGTATTTCCATTTCGTTATGAGTATTTCCACGCTCTAACGTCCAAACTATCGTTCAAAGGTGATATCTGACCAACAACAATGTTTTATACGTCATTCCATAAAAAAAAAACCAAACCGGGAGCACATTCGTTGTTGTAACGAATGTACATTCGTTATGGTTGTTTTTCGACCAAATCCACTTTAAACGATCGTGCATTCGTCATATAATACGTTATAAACATATTAAACTCGTTATAAGTCTAATTTTGGTCATTTTTAAGTAAAAATAACGAATTTACAAAGATATTACATCATCTTTCCATTTTTTAAAAACAAGAAAAAAACCAAGTATTGTTATTTCAAAAAAAGAGTTTCTTTATGAGTGTTTCGACGCTCTAACACCTTCAAACTATCGTTCCGATGACATGTAACATTAATATACATGCGTTATCAAGTAATTCAATCGAAAAAACCATAAAGAAAGCGCGTTTGTGTCAAAAAACAACTATAACGACTATACATTCCTTATAACAAACGTACATTCGTTACGGTTGTTTTTCGACCCAAACGCGCTTTCTTTATGGTTTTTTTGATCGAATTACTTGATAACAATTGTATATTCATGATACATGTCATTGGAACGATAGTTTGAAGGTGTTGGAGCGTCGAAACACTCATAACGAAACTCGTTTCTGAAATAACAATACTTGTTTTTTTTTTTTGGTGAAAAAGGTTAGATCATGTAAACGAAGGAGTTTGATTTCGAGATCCCGGAATTACAGCGAATAACATTTTATTGATTTTATACAAAAGTTATAAAAAAATAATAATAATAACATGCCCGCGACAGCCTATGCGTCGCGGGCGTGACGAGGCGTCGCGAGCTTCTGCAGCTCCATATTTCGTGTCGCGCCCGCGACGTGTATCATGCCAGCGACGGTAGCAACTGTCGCGCCTGCGAGGATGGTCGCGCCCGTGACATACTGGACAGCTTTATGTCCGAAAATAACACCATAGTGTCGCGACCG